CTTAACCGCCATTTGTTCAGCAGATATGCTAAGAGTTCAGCTGAGGCGCCTGCCAGTGAAGGAGGTGTACTAAGGGGTAACAATTTTTTTCAATTATTGACCTCAAAGTTGAACCCATTTGCTCGGTATGGATATGGCAATGTTAATTATTGAGTGCAGCGTCTGACAAATGAACAAATTCATTATTGTAACAGTCAGACGAAAGTCAGATCACATTTTTAAAAGTATTTGTGTGGCAATCCAAAAACATTGCGTCTTTCTTTCCCCTCAAAGAACCAGCAGAGTGTACAAATTATACACATGGACAGAGGATGATAACACAAGGCGTACTCCGAGACCTGCCAGGTGGATGCACAAGTTATGCTGGAGATCATTTATAAAAAGACAACTAATGCCCTCAGTCAGATGTTCCCCATCTTACTAAAGCTGAACTCCAGGATAAGCATTTATTGTCACCATGTGTTTTCTTCTCGAATCTCGGTGAGCTTTGTGTATATCTTCCAGATCTGTGCAGTAATCCAGTGTGAGACTCGGAGCTTCCTGTAATAATGACCGCTCACTGCTGCTCTCTCCTTGTGCAGGGTGACTGGTCTGGTCTCCTCCCCCTTCCTGTAATAAAGACCAGTCACTGCTGCTCTCTCCTCGTACAGGGTGACTGGTCTGGTCTCAGCTCTCTCCTGTAATAAAGACCGTTCACTGTTGCGCTCTCTTCTTGTGCAAGGTGACTTGTCTTGTCTGCACCCCCTCCTGTAATAAAGACCGGTCACGGCTGCTCTCTCTTCTTGTGCGGGGTGACTGGTCTTGTCTCTGCCCCCTCCTGTAATAAAGACCGCTCACTTCTGCTAACCTTGTGCAGAGTGACTGCTCTGGTCTCCGCCCCCTCCTGTAATAAAGATCGGTCACTGCTGCTCTCTCTTCTTATGGAGGGTGACTGGTCTTGTCCGCAACCCCTCCTGTAATAAAGACCGGTCACTGCTTTCTCTCCTTGTGCAGGATCACTGGTCTTGTCTCCACCCCCCCTGTAGTGGGTGAGGACTGCTGGGTTCTTCCCACAACTCTGCTCTCTGCACAGGCTACATGCAGCCCAGTGAGGACCTTACTGCTACTTTTACAAGGTAATGACTTGTAAAGGTATCCTGTGTCGCACTTTTATCAGTTACATTCTTCCCAGTTATCCGTGAAGACTACATAAGCAAATCCCTTTATGTTATGAAGAAAAGGGGTAGGGGGATACATTTAGGGAATGTTGCAGTCTAAAACTGTAACGCTCCTTTCCTACTCCACTAAGTCCATCGCCCCCACCGACCTACCCACCCACCCACTGCCATGTACCTTGCCATGGTCTCTTCTGGAAGTGGAGACTGGTGACCCAGCGTGGCAGGTCGTGTGACATCATCACTCCGCTGAAGTCACATGACCATGGATTAGGGTAAGTAGAAGGAGCTTTTCTATTAGGATTTAATTGGATTGGCTAGATTGGGGTTGGGAAGGGTGGGGTACTTCTGTCCGGAGATCAGATTTCCAGGGTGCTTCTACCTTTGCCTCCACTGTATCAGTAGAAGGAATTTTAAAGAGCAAACTTTAGGCCATTAACGGGCGCTCTGTTTGTTCTGAGTCCGTCTTATTAGCTTTCATAAAAAAATATTTTACTTTTCTTTTGCTATTTTTGGAATTAGTTGGCAAATCTGTCAGCAGGTCATTGTAATCTTTGGCCCATGTACCGGATCTCCACCGGCTTCACTGTTATAAGAAAGACTACAAGGAGTAAACACAGCGCACGCAGATTTAGATTTCTTCATTATTCTTTGCAGCTCTGCTTGTCTTTGCCCAACAAGTTCAGCTCTCGTACCTTTATACCCCTTACACTTCCATTTGGGCGGGTGCTGGCAGTGCACGTTACCAGGGTGTGTGTGTGTGATGGCTGTGCGCATTACTGAGGGGTGGGGTTTGTTGGTAATGAATGTAATCTGGGTTAGGTGTTACTTGGGGTGCAGGATACCTCTGTCTGGTGTCCCACCCAGCTCACTGACATCACTGGTTGCCAGGAGCTGGGCCAGAGGGTCCCGCTCTGCTCCTGACAACCAGTGACATCAATGAGCTGGGTGGGACTCAAGCCAGAGTGCCCCGCTCAGCTCCTGGCAACCAGTGACATCAATGAGCTAGGTGGGACTCCAGCCAGAGTGTCCCGCTCAGCTCCTGGCAACCAGTGACATCAGTGAGCTGGGTGGGACTCCAGCCAGAGTGTCCCGCTCAGCTCCTAGCAACCAGTGATGTCAGTGAGCTGGGTGGGACTCAAGCCAGAGTGTCCCGCTCAGCTCCTGGCAACCAGTGACATCAGTGAGCTGGGTGAGACTCCAGCCAGAGGGTCCCGCTCAGCTCCTGGCAACCAGTGACATCAGTGAGCTGGGTGGGAGGCCAGCCAGAGCGTCCGAGAATGCTAAGAGCTATTCTCAACCTGGGATGCTCTGGCTAGAAAAGGTGTTCCCGTGTCTATGTGACCCAATGGGGTGCCGCCCGAGGGAACCACCTCAGGCTGTCTCATTATAGGGATAGACCTGACATGCAGATCAAAAGGTCACAAAATAGTAAAAACAATGAAACAATACATGCAAGCAAACTGTAGGCAAATGTCAGTTTTTTACAGGATCAGCTCCATTTTGACAGCCGCTCCCAATGTGTAATACAAAGCAAGTAACAGCTGTCATTTTGGTCATTTTGACAGCTAGTAACTGCTCATAATAGTGGTGGGGGGAGCCGGGGCTGGGGG